GAGAGAGAGAGAGAGAGAAAGAAAGGGGAGGGGGGGTGAGAAAAAGGAAGTCGGTGGAGCCAGAAAATGCGACAGAAATTATAGAGAAGCAAAGACAGATACACCGACAGACAGTTGCATGAATAGACATGCAGACGGACAGACAAATAGACAGACAGATAGATAAAAGAACAAAAAGAGACAGGAGCAAACATAAAAAAGGAGAGAGGAGTTGGAAATAGGAGGAGGATAGAAAGAAAAACAGAAGTTGAAGATAAAAAGAGCAAGGGCTATTACAGAGGTATTTTGATTTGTAATTTGACTCGTGTGGCAGAGCTCTGTACAAACACACGACAAGCCCAGAAAACGACAAAACACTTTGTGCTTTGATAAGGTCAAGAGAACGTTAAAGTAATTGTGGGGAAAAATATGTTCTTTGAAAAGTCTGAAACCGTTATTCTCTCTTTTTTCCCAGAAATGAAATGCCAATGCAGATGTCAACGCCCAGGACTCGTACGATGACGTAGCACAGCAACATTTACCGATAATCTTCACAAAAGGGCACAAGCGACGACCATAGCCAGCGGGCCTTTTGACCCTCTGTTAGTTCCCTTGCCTTGAGCCAAGTAGAGGTCCTCATCGTCACCAACAACAAACGAAAACATCTACGTCACTAGCTGATTTTGCCCAACTTGGAGCCCAGCTGACACATCGGAAGATAGCTTTTGGCAAATCTCGCTCTTTATACTGCTTTATAAACCAAAGAGCCCCAGTCAGCATTTTACAGACTCCGTGTTATAGGCGCTCGGGAAGACTAACTACACACACTGGATTGTTTTCTGGGAGGCTCGCTGAAAACAAATTTAGATTTTATAAATTGGTTGGATTACTGTAATAAATTCACAACTTACACCAACTCTATCCACACCACGTACCCATTTCTCGAGTGTGTTCTGGAATGAGTCTGATATTTCTGCTTCTTTTCTAATATTCGTGTGCTAGATCTGATTGTGAGTGTGGAAATTTTTCCGACACTAGAACCAGAGAATCGCATTACCTCCCACGCACGACATCTTTGTGTGAGTGACTGCTCGGGAGAGCCCGAGGCCAACTTTCAGCGGTAGGATTTAGCTTGTCAAGGCCAGATGCGGGAAAGCACATGAGTACTTTCTTGAGAGAAATTCTACCCAAGCATGCTATCAGGCACTGTGACAACTCAAGTCACGTGGAACCCGTCATTTATCGCGGTCGACATTTGGTAGAGAGGAAGAAAAAATAAATAAGTGAAGGAGAGTTTTCGATATTAAAGCAAGAAGGAAAGAAATGAAAGCTTTCCATCCTGTTTAAATTGATCTTACAGGGATTCAGTCATTTGCAGACGTCATTATATCGATCCAAACCGCGCAACTGTTTATACTGCGATATCTCTGCCCACCCCGTCAGCCATACGGCACCACCCCAGCCTCCCCACCTCGCGGCTTGCCCGTGCTCCATCCCGCCTCCGCCCCCGATACTGCTACACTGCCACCACTGCTCCTGCTGTTGCTGCTGCGGGGGACTGTCGCTGTTTGTCAGGCTGAGTCCGCGCGCCGGCGATCATGAATCTAGAGATCCCGGACGGGTTGGGGGATCTGCTCCGCGATTTTACGGTGGCCGTTTTGAAAGAACGACCCGGTGACCTGTACGATTTCGCAGTGGACTACTTCACAAAAACGCGAGACGCCCGGAAACCGAAAGACGTGCCTATGTACATCATAGTTGAGGATGATGACGAGGCGGGCGAGCCAGACAAAGCTGCGTTTAGGCCAAAGTCGACAAGTGGTCGTTACGCTCGACGTCAGTCCGTCTCTGCAGAACGGTATAACCCCGAGGAGGACGACGATGACGACGATAAGATTGTCTACCCGAAAACGGACGAGCAACGTGAGAGACTAACAAAGACCGTCAGCGGAATTCTGCTCTTCAGATCCCTGGAACCTGAACAGACATCAGAAGTCATAGACGCCATGTTTGAGAAAAAGGTTCAACCAGGAGAGACAGTGATCACCCAAGGTGACGACGGCGACAACTTCTACGTCATCGATAACGGTGTTTACGACGTCCTGGTAGACGTGAAAGGCGAAGAGAAAAAGGTGCATCAGTTTGACAATCGGGGAAGTTTCGGAGAACTGGCCCTAATGTACAACATGCCCCGGTCAGCCACGGTGCGGTCCGCTTCGGATGGCACCTTATGGGCCATGGATCGGAATTCCTTCCGAAGGATTGTGCTCAAATCAGCCTTCAAGAAACGCAAGAAGTACGAAGACTTGTTGGAGAGCGTGACCATCCTTCAGAATCTAGATCGCTACGAGCGCATGACTCTAGCAGACGCCCTCGTTCCGCGCGTGTACCAGGACGGCGAGCCCATTATACGCCAGGGGGACGACGCGGATGGAGTTTACTTCGTCGAGGATGGCCACATTCGGATCACTATGTCGTCTTCAGACGGCTCAGAGCAGGATATCGGCATGAGAACCAACAGCACCTACTTTGGAGAACTTGCCCTCATCGAGAACAAACCTCGTACCGCTAATGTGTACGCTGTGGGCAGGGTCAAGGTCGCATTCCTGGACCGGGATTGTTTCGAAAGACTTCTAGGCCCATGTGTTGAAATTATGAAGAGAAACAGCCAGCTGTATACCATGTTTGTGTCAAATTAACATAAAGCATTATCAACTTAGTCTGCTTATCCAATTGAGTAACAAAGTTCATCGCTATATCATATTATTTAGTTGTCAAAAGCATTTGCTATTTCTTTGTGGTCCCTCCGATGCTGGCTTTGTGTAATTATTTCCATGTACATCACTCTGCTAAGATATTTATGTTAAGTGTGAAGAGTGAGAAATACTGAGATTAATTTAAATCCAGGTTCAATTTTTTGTTTTAAAAGAACAATTGAAGACAAACGGTGCCAATGTTTGTCTCGATAAAATTATACCACTCTCTTCTTCTCAATATACAATGCAACTCTGTACTGTATCTCCAAATGTTATATCTATCTGCACTTACGGCGCACTGAAACTTCCACAGTCACTCTTCAAATGAATATTTTAAACTTTTGAGGTTTGAATGCCAATGACCCATAATCTACAGGCCAGTTATGCCATGTAATGCTGAATAAAATGACAATACAAAGATAACAGGATATAAAAGCTGGGTTTGAAAGGATAGCAAGTTCCAAAGTGTGAAGAAGTTGTTTAGATGCATGAATACTGAGAAGTGTCTATGGTCTGGTGCTATCAAGAGTACATTTTAAGTCCATGGAGAAAGTATCTCAGCACAGAATCTGTAATGAATGGACTTGCAGAAAATTGTCAAGGATTTTAGGCCAATTTTGTCGATCTGTACAACTCAGTTCAAAGTGTAAAAATCCTGTTCTGTTAGCAAGCCTTGTTTTAAATCATTTATAGAATGTTTTTTTAATGAGGAAAATCCCAAAGAGCAGCTGTTGATGGCTATGCGTGCTTGTCTATCTTTGTTTGCAAGCATAACGACACCAAGTTTTAACTTAGTAGTCTCGTTACTGTTACAGTTGAAGGTCTCTTGGTGTTCATGTGGTGCATTAATACTTAGAGTAAACATTTTACTTTATTTACCTACACAGGCCATAGCAGATTGGGTAGAATAGTTAAAAGTTTGGAACGAGCATAGTGTTCAGGACTTCTGAATCACACACGTGATGATTTCCCAGATGATTGTAAATTAGTGACTTCCGTTGCTGAACCTTTAATACTTCAAAAAGTTCACAAAATTATACTTTTTCGTTTACTATATTGATTATTTCTAAATATCAGTACGAAAACATACCCCAGAGAATCGCTGATACGTCGGGTTTTTTTATTTTACTGAACATCCTGGCCCTATAGTTCCTTGAAGATAAAGAAATCAGTAATGAGTTTTTGTCTTTTTGGAAACATCACCCTGCTTTTGTTTCCAACTCCCCTCATTGCGATTTTGTGATGCTCTACAATAGATAGTGCGAACGTGTTATATTATGCTACCCCTCTTTTTCCTCGTTTTGATCAGCGTATATACTTTTGCGCTTGCATAATGTAACAAAAGCTGTCAAGTGTTTTCTCTTTTTATAAGGACAGCAAAATAACAAGCATGGTTAGTTCTGATGAAAACCAAATTCAGTTTGTACCTTTATTTCTTCAGTTAAAACTTTTGTCCAAGATATGGGGCCAATATGATCGGTAAAAAAGCAACATAGATGAAAGAAGCTCTAAGATAATAAATGTGCACACCTTAGGGAACTCCCTTTACCCTTTCTCGCATCAAACACACGCCACAGCCTCTTGTAAGCTCAGGGGACAAAAAAAGGGATTCGAAGCTGCTTGGGGCTAGACTTTGATATCCTTCAATTTAGTCCGTCAGTAGCAACAAAGTCCGCGAAAAATATGACCTTTCAGGAATCTATGTGTTCCTTTCATTTCGAAAATGTCTGATTTTAAATCAGACGATCATATGTTTTACTATTTGGATCAAGTATAAACGTGTCCTTGACCATGTATGTGAAAATTCCGGCAGAATACGATCTAGATCTCACGTTACAGACCTTAAGCTGTAGAAAGTCTCTCTATGAAAAGAGATCAACAATTTCCTGTTGTTCTGACAAGGAAATAAATAGAGCTAAAACGCGATAAATTACATTCACATCTTATTTTAAGCATATTCTTTCTTCTATTTTGACTGTAGTAAAAACCTACGCTATGTGTCCGTAGAAAGACCTCCAGTCCGATTATAATACTACTACTTTCTCAATTGGGCTAGCTGAATATATTTGTGATGCACTGATGATCCGAAAGACTAAACGGTTTTAAGTATCCTGTAATGTCGTTGTGCCAGTTACACAAAGCCAGTCTAATGAAATGACAATACAATCCAGCGAATTCCCTATACACCTAGTAAAAATGATACTGAATATGCTGTTCATCCCCTTGAACATGGACCTGAGAAAGATGTAGAACCATAATTACAGCTGTGTTGAATAAATTCTGCGATTTGCAATGTGATTTCATTTTCTCCACAGAGTGATCCTTAAAATGATTGTGACAGTGTTTACCTGAATTTCACTGTGATTTTTTAATTATTTTTTTTGTTGATGATACGTCCTGGATGAAAGATTCCATTAATGCTCATGATGATCATTGTAGAGAGAATCAATACTGTTGTGACGTCAAACTGACCCACATATTTCCCCAGGTTGTGTCATGATGATAATGTAACCATTGACCAGTTGTTTGAATTTTGAATGTTTTATTTTACTTCTATAACTCGCACATACGCCATGTATACCCGTTTCCCTACACATATTGTAAAAGCTGTTACATGTATATGTTGCCAACCATGAGGATGCAAGTTTACTTTGGAAAGAAATAGACGCTGTGTGTATATTTCCTCTGTGTGTGTGTGTTTGTGTTTGTGTGTGTGTGTGTGTGTGGGTGGGTGTGTGTGTATGTATGTGTGTGTGTGTGTGTCTTTGTGTCTGATAATATAAAAAATCTGCACATATAATAAGTAAATAGATGAATGTCTGCTTGTCTGCTTTTGAGTCCATTTGCATGTGTGATTAGTGTGTATGCGTTTGTTTATTTGTATGTATTTGTGTGTGTATGTATGTGTGAATGAAAGATACAGAGAGCAAAAGATAAAGAGAGAGAGAGAGGGGGGGGGAGACAGAGAGAGAGAGAGAGAGAGAGAGAGAAGAGAGGGGGGTAGGTAAGGGGCCTAAGCGATAAATATTTCAGTCTGTAGTTTCTTTGTTTTTGTATTGTACATCTTAAAGGTTTTTGTAATGCCATACTCGATTCTTAGATCTGAGATCTGGGTAGGTGAAGTTTAATGCGAGGTAGTTTTCTTTGTTTTTTATGGGGGGGGGGGTTATTAAGATAAACCCTTTCTAGTGAGCATTTAGGGAAGGGCATGCCCTTTAGGCACCTTTTATATTTAGAGCATGATTTTTGGGTGAAAAATCATGATTTTCGTAGTTAACATTTTTTCCACACACTCCCCAAAGTTGGGTGCTTTTCTTAATAAGTTAAAACTGATAATTGCATGTTAGCAGTACCGTAACAGACATTAGAAAGACACAAAAACTTTTTGTTTAAATAAAGTCTGAGATTTAAGAACTAAAGTAATTAATTGATCTGTCAAACCCGCGAGCAAGGTTTCAGTGACAGGTGCGAGTCACGATCCAGGCCTAGAGTTGTGTGCTTTTGAAAGATCCTGAATGATGATGTTTGTCGTTTCACCTACCTAGGAATTGGTGCCCGTCTAATATAGTGAAAGAAAACGCCAGTGTGATGGTGTCTGGGGGTGTTACATAACAGATTACACTGAATACTTCCAAGGTTTCGGAGATTGTATACGAATGTTATTGGGTCTGTAAAGGTAACGCAATAGCACATTAAAAGCTCATAAACCTTTTTTTCGAGAAGAAATGCGTGCCGTATAAATGCAATCTGAGTGTATTATTAGTTTTACTTTGAATATAAAATTCAAGATAGTGGCGTTTCCTTGACGGAAAAGGTAGATCTTAAGGGCCTGTATCTACATTATATCGCTGTTTTGCCCTTTAAAGTAACCAAAATGTCCATCGGGTGCACACTGTCCTCTATTTTCCTCCAGTTCTACTGTCAGACACGAGATCAAGTTCAGACAGTAACTAATATTGAACCACTTCTTCTAAAAACCTGTGGATACAACAGAGAGAACTATGTTTTCCCGCTTAGAAAGCCTTCAGGCACCAGGAGCTCTTTCCTGTGAAGACAACCAATTAAATTTTGAACGTCTGTTCTCCAGGGAAGTGTAACAAAAGCGTGTCACTTAAAAAACAGTCTGCATCTGGGTTCCTTAATTAAAGCTGATTCGTGTGTGTGTGTGTAGGGAAGGCTGGATGCCAGTGAGGCTTTATTATGACTCTAAAGCATCGGAAGTATCTTTTAAATCTACAAGTTTGGATCAGATTATTTATTGGCAGAGACTTAAGGAGTCATTAGGCTAGGATACATGTTGGGAGAACATGGCAAACTTAGCGATGAATATGTTCTAGTAGAGTGTTTGAACCTTAAAGAAAAGAAAAATTAACACTATGGTGGGTTTTCTCTCTCTCTCTTTCTCTCTCTCTCTTTCTCTCTCTCTCTCTCTCTCTCTCTCTCTCTCTCTCTCTCTCTCTCTCTCTCCTATACTATAGTACTAATGTTTTTAGTTACTTTTTGGCTCTTTTAATCTCTCTTTATGAATGATTTAGCTGTGTTTTTCTATTGCTCCCAAAAAAAATCCTTTAGCGCTTTTGTTGCGTGGAGTAATTTCTCAGAACGTCCATGTGTTACAGACAATTAGCCACCGCGAACAAAATGTCAAAGGCTCCTGGCGATTGATCTTAGATTATGCGCCTGAATAGCCCGTCAGCATCATTTTTGCAATACTTTTTCCCCTCTTCTTGATGTTTAAACTGTAATCACCAGAGCTGGTCTTATCGATCGCTCTTCTTGAGCGCTACCAGGAACTACTTGCCCTACACGAAAAGAATAGAAAGCATGATGCAGACACTGTCCTTCTGGTTTTCCAGTGCTTTGTACAGGATTCTTTGTTTTTCTTTGTTCCCTCTGTTGTTGTTTTTTTATTTTTTTATTTTAACAAAAATAATAATAAATGAGTTTATAACGCGCCATAATCCACAAAAGGTGCTTAGTGGCGCTTACAAAACACACACACACACACACACACACACACACACACACACACACACACACACACACACACACACACACATACATACACACAACAAACGCACGCACACAAAGGCTAAAAAGCTCAGTACCACTACGACAAGCATCAATTTCAACAACAACAACAAAAAAACACATAACAAAACTGACAGATATTTCAGATAGAGAGTTCCACAATTTAAAATATACTATTCTGTAAAACATTGTTTTCAACTTTGCTTTAAATTGATTAATCGAAAGAGTCATTTTAACTTCTAAATCCAAATTGTTCCAAAGTTTTGGGGCACAAATGGAAAAGGCCCTTTCACCCAACATTGTTCTGGACCTAGGCATGCATTGTTCCAAAGTTTTGGAGCACAGATGGAAAAGGCCCTTTCATCCAACATTGTTCTGGACCTAGGAATGCAGAGCTGATGGTCATTCAAATTTGTAATTTGTTATGTTACTTGAAACTTTGAGAAAAGCGTCAGCAGCTTCAGCATCAGCAGCTTCAGCGTCAGTTATTCTTTGATGTGGTTATTATCTATCGATCGGACTACTTTTACGTGAAAGGGTTCTAATCTGTATTTAGTAAGACGTCATCAGTTTCCAAGCGTACTTTTACATTGCTATTTTTGCTATTGATTTAGGATTGTCCCACAAGAGTCTAGTCATATCTTTGGAGACGATGACTCACGACGTGAGTGAGATTGCTGGTTTTGGGTGGCAGGAATGGTGTCCATATTTCAGTAAAACTGATAGCTTCTGAATATCAACGATATCACGACTGAGCGCGGCGTTCTGACGACGTCAGGCCAGTTTTTATGCAATGAAAAGATTGTCCAGCTAAAAAGTCAGTGGTTTCTTTTATACTTGTCTTATTCTTTGCAACGATAGACATGGCAGTGTGATTTGTTAGAAGTGTTGATCAATAAAAATTAAACCCACTGCATACAAGGCAATTGGAGGGGGGGGGTGATTGTGGAATCAAAGAGATCTTCCTGTCCTTATCATTATGTATTATTACTTATTATTTCGATGTCTGTGAATAGTTAATGTTTAATTTGTTGATCCCTCTTGCACAGACAACCCCTGCAGGTGATAGGTAGGTGCTCTTGTATGGTTTGCTCCTACTTTTCTATCTAACATCTACCGTACTTATCTCTCCTCCATCTTTTGGTGTTTGTTACTCTCTTGTAAAACATCTAATCTTCAACACATACGTGACCTCATTGCATTGCAAGTTCCGTAAAACGCTTCCTAAAAGTAAAACTGAGACACCCCCCCACCCCCAATACACGTACCGGCTCATGTCGTCTGGAGGAGAAATGTCCCCTTGTCCGGGATTATGTATTTGAGTCCCCGCTTTTGAAATGGGCATTGTGGCGGTTTTCCCTTTTTGTATCAGGATGTGGTTAATCGCCCAGCAAAGCTTGTAGTCCATGGTTCTTCCACCTTTGTTATATTTTAGTAAAGAGAAGCACATCGACACAGTAATGGTCATTTGAAACTGGGGGAAAAGAACAACAGACAGACGGACAGAGACAAAAGAGGAAAAACAAAGACGTAGGACCTACCCCTGGCGCCCTTCTGCGGCACCATTTAGCGTTTGGTTGGTTGTTTGGTTGGGATTTTGGGGGTTGTTGGTTTTTTGTTTGTTTGTTTGTGTTGGGGGAGGGGGGTTGGGGGGTTGTTTGTATATTTGTTGTTGGTTTTTGTTGGGGGGGGGGGGTTGGGGGATGAGTTGAAACGGGAAAGGGAGAGAATAAAAGAATCGTTATTTTAGCATAGTCGTCAGTCTGTGGTAGAGGTCTTACACATCTAGTTTACTACTGAATCCAATTTTAAAATGGTACTGCAAATTTGTGTATATGACTGTATCTCTGATCGTCTGTATGTGTGTGGAGGGAAGGGGGTCTAATGGAGAGAAAGGACCAAAAAATGAGACACATCAATAAAGAGGATGGAGATTTTGAGACCGACTGACAGACAGCTAGACAGACTTTGAGAGAAAGTAAAAGATTGGGAGAAAGAAAGAGAGAAAGATAAAAAGAGAGAGAAAGATAAAAAGAGAGAGAAAGAGGCGTGTTACCATAAAGAAAGCATCTTACTTTGAATCGTCGTTTTAGTCATGTTTTAGGCTTTTTATGATCACGTGCTTGTAACAAAGCAGGCTGAGTGCAAAATGTAATTGCTGAGCTAACTGAACGTTGAGCCCAACTCGGCATAATAGGGGTCGGCAGTCTGCTAGCTTTGTGACGCTTTCTGTTGCTCTACCACCCCCTTCCCACCGCCCAACCACCCTCCTCTGCTGTGGAACAAGGCGTAATTGATACTTTGTTTTCAGAGCTTTTGTAGGTTCTGTTCACGAGGACTAAAAACGCAAGAGGGATATCAGCTTGATCAAATCTTTTGTCCTTTTTTGGATATTGATGTCGTTTCTGTATTTGATACTTGCAGTTTTTGTTCTCGTCTTGTGTCATGCTGCTGTTTTGTGAAATAGCCCATTGTATTATTTATTGTTATTGATAGCTTTGGACTCTTTAAACGTGGCTGAATGTCCAATGCAGGAAACATTGCGAAGTACTTTAATGGATGTATGTGATCGGATAAACACTGCGGAAGTGATATTTGGGAGAAAGATACACTTATTCAATAAGTTTTTACATACCCTTGTTTTCATTATATTACCGTACTCATTCTGTCAGGATTTTTCATAAAGTGATCCTTATGTCTAGCCACATCTTTATATAATGAGTGCTCAATCAGTTTTAAATGAGTGAAGTGCATGTTTGTCTACTTTGAAAGTGTCAAAAATGTTAAGTGGGAAATAAACATGTCAGATTACGAGAGTGTGTATTATAGGTTTGTCACAGAAAATAGGACATGTCGACGTACACATTTCAAACCCAATTAGGCAAGAACAAATGTTGAAATCTGTTCCACCAAAAAAATCCGTCTCTCAGTT